TTATTATGTGGCATGTGTATTTGCGGCATGCAAAACAGTGTATGGGTATGCGGGCAGGGTGGCTAACCAGCTTGGACGCACAGCTGGCTGTAAGGGTTGTCCCCTCACGAGGTCATTAAAGGCATGTGAAATAAAAACAAACCCTTGTACCTTGGACTTTAAGGGGTTGTTCTTTGAAAAATTGCAATGATTGCTTACTTAAAGAACATTTTAAAATAAATATTTAGTTAGCAACTATTAAATATTGATGTACCGGCAACTTCATGACTTTATTATTATTTCAGTAAATTGCTTCAGAAAAAGAAATCTGGCTTAAAACTGTTTGAGTGCAATTGAATAATAATTTTTTTTAAAAAAACCTAGTCGTTGAAGAAAATACAGAGTAAAGTTCACATTTGATTAACAATCTGCAAATACTATTTATTAATGAAAGAGGCTGGAGAAAGCAAGTAAGATAAAACACATCCAACACAACCAAGCTCATTAACACATTGAAGAATTGGTGCTCCAAAAAGGTAGATTGATGGTAATGGATCAGTCAACACCATTTAAAGATAATAAGATATAAGTCAAATCTTGTGTGAATCCAAACGCACTGCACTCTTCATTCTTCGTGACAATTCGTCAAAAACAAGACGCATATCATTTCACAGTCGCCTGACTTCTGGCTATTTGACAAATTAAAAAGACCACTCTGGGGACACAGTTTTGACTCGATTGCGGATATTGAAGTCGAATCATATAAGGTACTGAAAACGATTTTTTTTTGAAGACTAAAAAAATATTGTCATACATGCATTGCATCCGGAGGGGTTTATTTGGATGCGCAAAGATAGATTTTATTGAATAAGCAAATTTTGAAGGTAAGATAATAAATAGTGTGGGTTATATTTATACAAAGTACTCAGTATGTTAATTGATTCATTTTTGTAGCTCACTGCATATGAATAATGATTCAATCAAAGTTTACCATATAACTTCATAAAGGAAATACTAAATATTTGTATACTGAACACAATTAGGATTAGCATTAAACTTTAATTGCGTGTTTTTCCTTGGAGATCAACCTATGGAACAACAAAGTCTCTCCTGACTATACATTTCATGAGCTTTGACATACACTCTACGTTCATTTTTGTTGAATGCTGAATAACTTTTCTCAAAACATCACAATGTGCTATCAAATTGCATTTTGATAAGCTGTGAACGCTCGAGGCGCGAATCAATCAAAAGACTTAGGCAACGAACTTGATCGGTTCAATAGACGCGCTTCGAATTGCAATGCGCATCACTCTTTGTTATCGCCTGTTTTTTTCTTTCTCATGTGGGATTTTAAAAACATATTTTCGCAAATCAAATTGCATGATGAGCATGATGCGCAAATATTTATCTGTTGTTGTTCAATACGTTCGAAAAGTAAAAGTTTTTATTAAGTTTTTGGCTGACGCACACTTTTGATTTTATGATTTTTTTCCCCCAATTTTTGTTTATCACAATTAAATGTTGCGCATCGTCGCGACGTATGTATAGTAGGTGTATGCTTTTGAAAGTGTTTTGTAGTATTGCTGTGGCGTGGCTGGATTTTTGCGTGCGAAAGTTAGTTGTTTTTGTTTATAAAGATGCGCGCTTAAAAAGCATTTTTATGTTTATGTTATTTTACTTTTTACAGTCGTACTATATTTCCGTTTGTTTTTAGTTGTGTGTGGTGGCATGTTATGCGAATTACAAACTTGCAATTTGAATGTAATTTAAAAAAATGCTTTTGATATGTGCGCCTGCCATTAGACGAGGTGTTCGTTATGTATGTTTATAGTAAGTGCCTGTAAGTTCAGGTGAATGAAATGCAAATGCTTCAAAGGCATTGAGTAACAGCATGATGAGCGCTCAAGTGGTGCGAAACTGGTATTTGAAACCGTGCTTACAATTTGTTTTTAAACATGGTTTTAAAGTATTTAACTCAGACTGGCACGGCACTGGCACTGCCAACGCCGACTTTGGAAAAAAAATGTTATACTTATATCACAAATTAACATATTCCGGAAATAGTATACATAAGTCGAAATTCTAAACAATTGAATCGTATTAACAAATTAATTAAGTAAAGTAAAAAAGAATTGATAGTTATAGTCTTAATAAGTGGGGTCGGTGCACAAAAGTTGTTAATACTTTCGAAATAGTTTCGAAATGTTAAACTCGAACTACATTTTTTGAAAAGGAGCTTTTATCAATATTTAAACAAAAAACTAATTATACATTTTATTACTTATTACAATCCTATTGTTGCTGCATATGCATATGGCGTTGTTTAAATTTTCTTCCCATGCACGTATGAATATTTTAATACGTTCCTTCATCTCGTACATCCCGTCATTATTGATAAACATTTAAATTGATAATATTATTACCCATTAGAAAAAATTCTTTTTTATATGCATTGAATTTTCTCAAATGAGCTCTAAATAATCATCAAATATGGATATATGTAAGTATATGTATATCTGTAAAACTTTGAATGTCAATCAAATGCTGGAACATATATTTTCTGTATTTTTATGTTAATAATTATTCTTAGGAATATTTGAAATTGGGGAACAATAAATTATGAAAGATAACTAAACTACACAAATATCTATTATATACATTAGTATTAGTATAATTAATAAGTAAAAATAGAGAAAGAAAGAGTATCACGTAGTTTTGACAAATACGCTGAATTTCTCATAATTTTTGTACTTTTTGCCTGTTTTGATGCGCAGCTTAGTTGTGCATTATTTTGATTGAAATGCCGCCATGTGTGGCATGCCCCTTATACATACATACACTCATACACGTAGAATGAAAAGTAAAAGGCTTTAAAGCGCATTTACTTGCCTTATGCAACGAGCTAAAGTTTTTACATATTTCTGAAAACTTCATGCCGAAATGCTGGCTATTTCTGGCTATTTACTTATTTTAGCAGAGCCTTATCTTTTGTTATTACAAACATTTCATTTAAAGTAAATTTGCAATTTTACCGCCATCGCACTGCTTTTTTCTCCGATTTGCACACAACACGCGAAACCTCACATAAAAGACTCTATGGCCAATTTGTTGGCTCTTAAATTTCAAACACACTGCAACAACAGCAACAACAGCATTTGCGGCGCGTGTTTGTAGACCAAAAATTGTAATGGCAAACGAAAAGTGAAAAAAACCCCAGGTCTCAACAGTAAAATGGCTTAAATGTTAAACGCAAAATTGGCAAACATTATGTGCTTCAAATTTTGCGCTACAGGCAATTTTTTTCATTAATTTTGGGCCACACAGCTTTTTGCAACGTCGAACTATTTTATGTTTTGTCTTTCCTTTTGGTTTACGCAAATGAAACCCATAAGCAATAATTATGCTGACCTAAATACTAAAACTTTGTTTTATTTGCATTTCTTTAGGTAATTGATTTTTATTTCGTTTTTGTTGCTGATTCGCTTTTATTTAATTAATTTATAGTAATGTACCTATTTAAAGCATATTTTTGGTAATTTTTGATATTATTGGTGCTCTTATGTTTATTTTGGTCAACAAAAATAAATAAATTATTGTTTATTAATAAACTCAGGCCACATTTCTGTAATGCCTTGCTTTTATTATATTTCTATAAGCAATGTTTTTGTTAGTTGATTAATTTATTACAGCTCTGAAATTTATTTAAATTATTTTATTATTATAAATAAACATAAAAAACGACAAATTCAAATATTAATTCGTTTTATAACCACATTTTTGTTAGATTTACAGCGTTCTGTTATTAAAAGTTTTGTTTCTGTTAAGTTAACAGCATTCTGTTAAGGAACTTCTCAAAACAGAAGGGGGATAAGTTTTAGGAATTCCCTTCTTATTTCAGGCATTTCTGTGTGTTTTAAGTAACACAGTTGAGCAATTTTTGGATTGAAAATTGCTTAAGAAGCATTAAAAAACGCTCTTTTTATATAAAACAAAGTTATTAATGCATTTAAAGTGTATTACTCATACGCCACATTGCAAAACCTCAATATATGCGGCATGAGTAACCTTCAAAGGAGTTGCACAATTTCCCGCATTTCATCTTCGGATGCATTTTATACACAAGAAGAAATCTATCAAAGCAACCATAAGTTTGTGTGCGTGTGCGTTTTTGTGTGTTTCGCAAATTGTTGTTAATTTTGTTTAATAGTTTTTTGGCGCTCTTTCGCCGCTTGGCACCGCTGTTGGCCAAGAAGTCAATAGCCATTTCATCTTTCTTCATCAGCCAACTTTGCTTTGTGCGAGTGAAAGTCTTTCGCTGGCGCGCGCGCGCTTCTTTCTCAATTTGTAAAAAATTACAAAAATAAAAATAAAAATCCACAGCAGCCGCAGCCACAGCCACATGCGCCGCACCAGCATCAACAACAACAACAACAAAGAGGCCAAACACATGTGTCATTCAATTTGGCCCAACGGCTACACCAGAAATGAACCACGAGAAAAATTGCGCCAATCATCAAAAAAGCTGCAACATCAAGTTAGCAATTGCCACAAAATAAAAACAAGATGCTTTTTAAGTTTTCTGCAGAGTCCTTATAGTTTTAGTTTAAATCCAAAAGATAGGGAAACCTATTCATAAAATTTCTAGAGAGTTTTCGTATAAATTGCTTTAAAATATATTTTATGGTTTTTGAAAAAATTTTTTTTTAAACCTGTACTTCGATATGTCAAATATTAAATTGAAAATATAAAAATATTTTCAATATTTTCCAAATAGTGTTTTCATCTTTTTGGATCCCAATTAATGGCTTTACGATTTATATTTATTAAGTTTCTCAATTATATATTATTTCTTCTTTCTAAGGATGAAATTCAAAATAACTTGAAACTGTTAAATAGGAATGCATGAAAAGTACAAATTATTTTAAAATATTTAAAAACTAGCTAAGTGGTTCATAAATTTTAATGTAATTAAATAAATGTATAACTGAAAAAAAAAACTGTAAATTTGTTGAACTCACCGTCTGGCCTGCCTGGGAATGGACTGTGTCCAGCACACGGGTGCTTTGTGTAATTGATGCATATTTCGGGACGATTTATAGGTAAGATCCCCGCATTCCGTTTGCCACACCTGCAGATTTCCCTCTGCCGGATAGAATGTGTAGAGACTATTTGTAGAGGAGGCGATCACTGGTGATCCTCCGGCTGCTGCCATTAGAGCGGCAGCAGCGGCGTCACTCACGCCACCAGTCGGCAATGCACCTGCCGATCCGGCAGCCACCACCGCAGGCGAGAGTGTGGCGCTAGAGATTGGCTGCACAAGCAAAGCCTGCCCAGAGGCAGCGGCAACAGCAGCTGCTGCTGCGGCTCCAGATGTGGCTGCCACCGCGCCCGCTGCACCACCGCCTGGACTGTATTTATAGTTCAGCATGCGTGTGTTGCTGGCCACGCCGGTGCCGCCAGCACTGCTGACATTGCCATTGCCGTCGTGTTTGAGGATCAAACTGCTCGGATCGTAGCCGTGACGATGACGCGCAATGGCATCGACAGAATGGGAGCGCAGAGCACTCCTGGGGGTCAGCACATTTAGTGGCGCATTCCGGCGACCGCTGCCGCCCAGCGTTTGCGTGCTGGCTGGCGACATGGCACGCGTTTTGGCGCGTCTGTAGCCGCCGCCAGAGTTGCCAGCCGCATGCGAAATGTGACCGCTGGTCAGACGATGATTGTGCACGGTCTGGTGCGTTGCTGCCGCCGATGCGACCAAGGGTTGTCGCTGCTTCTGGTACTGCAAACGTTGGGGCTGCTGTGGGGCCTGGGCGATGCCCAATCTAGAATTGGGATTATTGTTCGCCACTTGGGAGCCACCTGCGGCTCGGGGTATATTTATTTGCTTGGCCTGCTCCTTGTAGTACTTGTCGAGGGCGGCATCTGTTGCTGTCGTATTGATGCTGCGTCTTTGTAGCTGCGGCCCAGCCATGCTCAACAAACGTGGCGGCGACTGTTGTTGCTGTGGCAGTGGCTGCGATGTTGTTGTTGCTGTTGTCAGGCCGCCCGTAGCTGCCGAGCTAAGCTGGGCGAGCGTTGAGCCAATGTTCTGTTTATTGTTGTTGCTGTTGTTGCTGCTGTTGCTGGTCGAGTGATTGCTCGCATTGCTGTTGTTGTTGCTGTTGCAGCCACTTGTTGTTTGATGCTCTGAATCGGTTGAAACACGATCCGGATCACTTTCGAAACCTTCATCAAGGGATCGTGTTGGACTCAGTATGGGCTTTGAGTGTTGTTCCAGTTTTGTAGTTGCTGTTGTTGCTGCCGATGACGACGACATGTTGCTGTTGTCCAGTAAGCCTTTTTTGCGCAAAAAAAAACTATAGTTCGAGAACTCGCTCGCTCGCTCGCTGTCTCAAATAACGCGATTTTCCGTGTGTGTGTCACACTTCGCTTATTGTATTTGTGTTGTTATTGTTGGCGCTGTTCCTGCAGCCCTGCAACACTAATTACATTCAACGACACACTATTTTTTAAAAAAAGAAATTTATTCTGCAACAACAACTAAACACAATGCTGTTGCAGTTTTCTGTTTGCCGCTTTTTATTTTTATGTTCACACGCCACTTTTTCTTTTAATTTTCATGCGCTGCCGTTGCACACTTTTTGTTATGTTTTACTTATATTTTTTCTTTGCCTTTATTTAATTTTTTGCGAGCCGGAAAAAATCACTTGGCAACGCGTTTTAAGTCGCAGTCTTCAGCCTCACGCTGACTCTGCCTCCACAGTTGTTATTATTATTATTTTTATTATTTTGCCTTTCTGTCTGTTTCGTCTGTCTCGTTATTTTTCGCACTGAAGCTGCAAGTGTTGTTTTAATGCCACTTGCTGTTACGGTCTTGCGCTTTTTCCGTTTTCACGTCTGACTCGCACGAAAGTCGTTTTCAAACTGTTCAACGAATTTCTGTTACTGTCGTCGTCTGCCGTCGAAAAGCTCAATCGGCACTTGTTCGGTCGTCTCCACTGCTGCTGCTGCTGTGGCTGTGGCTGCGGCTGCTGAGTTGTAAACTTGTTGTTGCTGCTATTGTTGAGCGCTGTTGCACCTGTGCCGTTGCTTTCTGCTGAGAGCTAAAGAGCTACTGCAAACGAGTGAGAGAGAAGAGAGAGCGAGACAGTTTTTGCCGCAATTACTAACGGCGCATGAAACAGAAACAGCTGTTGCTGCCGCTGTTGTTGTTTATGGATTTCAACAGACAGGTAAATTGGAAAAGAGAGGGAAGGCGGTAATTGTTCGCGATTTTCCTGTGAAGGCTATACGGGAACTGGTAAGCAATGAAAACCTTGACATCGTATTCAAAACCATTATTTGCAACTGGATGAAACTGCTTTTTAAAATTGTTACAAGTAGTTTCAACTTCTACCTTCATTGTTTAAATATTATTTCAATTTATGGTTTTCCATACCACTAAATTAACGCCATATTTATGTATATGGTCATATCAACTACAAAATAATTAATTAATGAAAGCAACATAATTAAATTTTCCAATGCTCAAAAAGTTAGTTAAAATTAACTTTTTAACACTTTTTGAATATTTAAACTCAAAGAAATTCAGTTTTATAGGAATAATTGTTCAAATTTATTGAGCTGTTACACTCTTTTCTGGCCACCACTGTGTAGATCAGTCCTCGCTCACTTAAGCTACTGCGCTCTCTCTCGCTCTTGCCACAATATTTTCATCAATGAAAACAACGTGTAGTCACAGCGCATAACAACAACAACGGCCGGCGTTTCGACAGCGTATAAAAACCGCAAGCAACAACAAAACCAAAGCTTTGCACTCTCTCTCTCTCTCTAGCTCATTCTCCCAACGAAAAGCTTTTCGTCTTAGGCGCCATGGCACCTGCTGCACGCATTTACTGTTGACCCAGCTGCAATGAATGACATGGAGAGAGAGCGAAAGAAAGAGGGAGAGAGTGAGACAAGAGAATGCCGATTTTTGGGCTGCTGCTGCTTTCCTCTCCTGTTGTCGCTGCCTTTTCATCTTTGAGCTTTGCAGTTTTGTGATGATGCACTCGCGGCTTTTTGCAGAAACAACAACTACGGCGACCATGAGCGTAGAGAAATTAATGTTAGGCTGCCCCAATCTAGAAATTGAAAAAAGCACAAAAAGTATTGCCCATAAAATTACAGCATTAGTTTTCAAGCGTCCCAATGTCCTCATCTTTAGAATTATGAATGTATATTATGGAAATCATTGTTTCCACGACTTTTCCAAATTTTTAAAGAACAGTGTTATCTAACATTAAAAAGAAATTAAACACGAGATCCCAGGAATCCACCAATAGGGAGACGCTGAGCTATGCTCCAGATCCATCCTGAATTTTTAGAACCGAAACGACTGTTGTTCTGGTGCGGGAAGGTCCGTCATCCCCGTTCAACGATCTACAACCCTACTACAAACTTGATTAGCTTTAACCGTTGGTAGGTGAAGGGGTCGAAAACGGGGCATCTTTTGAAATGAACGACCAAGTAAAAGAGCATATCGGTCTCTTGGAAACTAGATGAAACATTTAGCTGCCTTGCGTCTCCTTCATGTGTCCGCCAAAGCGCAATGCAGGCTATCCTCTCCTCTGCGACTGTCCAGCCTTAGTCTAGAGGATCAGGAATTATGACCTCCTCAACCTGAGAACTGTTTTCCTGCCGTTTCCTCCGATAGAATAATAAAAAACGCTAACAATAGAAATCTGGACTCCCCTGAAAGTCTGATCCTAGCTACGCCCATGCCATTGCAATTTGATGATATCGAGCAATTGATGTTGAAGTGGAATGCCCTTACTTTGATTGATTTCCGGGTGCTGTCGAGTTTCATTTTTTCGCCAGCCAGCGCGAAAAATGAAAAGGAAAAGAGAAAAAGTGAGCATGGCTTTGGAGAAACTGCAGCAGCCAGAGGAGCCGCCGGCCATTATCAGCCGCCACAGTTGCTGTTCCTTACGCCTAGCTTCCGATATCGATGAGCGTGATTGCAGTGTTGCTGTTATTGTGGTTGTTATGCCTTGATTTTCGCTTTTCTTTTATGCGCCTCATAATTAAGCTCGGGTTGCTCTTGTTGTTGTTGTTGTTATTATTGTTGTTGGAGTGGCGTTTCATTATTTTTCTTTTGAAAGAAAACAGCTTACAATGAAAGAGTAAGCCAAAAATAGTTAACACTTCGGCGGCTATTGTTGTTATTATTATGAATTTATATTATAACTGCAATTTAATTATATACGAGTACATTTTATAGTTTGAACATCATAAAAAATGTATGTATGTGGGTCTTAATTATGTTTTGCGCCCAAGTTTCGTTAGTTGTTGTTATCGGCCGCGTACGTGCCGGTATTTTGATTTTTATAGTGACCCCACTTTATAGACCAGCTGACTGACTGACTGCCGTTATGGTTAGGCAACAGATTCGCACCGCATTTCACGCACAGATCCACAAAAAACAAACCTCAGCGTAATGCACAGTGACGTGCATTACTCGCATGTGTCTTTAAGTACTTAATATGTTTGTGTGTATGTGTGTCAGTGATTGTGATTGCGGTATGTAAGTTTATGGCTGCGTTAGTGGTACTGTGGATGCTCGAATCTGTGGCTTACACATAAGTTCATTGGAGTTCAGGCCACATTACAAAAGTCAATGGCAATTGAAAATGATCTCGAGTGGAATCAATTGGAAATGTGATACTCACTTAAATTATTAAACGGCTGTTTGGAATAATTGTTTGAGTTAACTGTAATGTTTGTTTTACATCAACGTTTTGAATCACTCAATAAAATTCGTTTCATTTCGCAAGCGAGCTGTTGTTGATCCAAATAACTTATTTAAGTAGATGGGTCGGGGTCACCAAAAAGTGCAAAAAGTAAACGATCCAACTATTAACTTCAATTTTGTTTACCACTTGTTTTACATTGACTTTTTGATCATTTTTTAAATAAATGGAATATTTTACGAGCTCTTTGTAGATCCAATCTATTTACTTATTAGCGGGGTTACCAAAAAGTGCAAAAACTAATCGTTTCTATTGAATTCAAATTATATTACATCGACTTTTCGAATTATTCAATAAAACTCACGTCATTGGTAGATTCAATCTATTTACACATATGGGCCGGGGTCACCAAAATAATCGATACTCCTACATAGTAGAGAGTAGATAGTGACTGTATCAAACCTTAATATTTGTTTCAAAAAATTTATATGTTTAATGGAAGCTCATTCTATTTAAGAGTTATATAAATGTCGCCCCAATACTTTAAAGATATATTTATGTTTGTACAAGTTCCACCAATACAAGTATAATGAAAATTTAAATTAGATATTGATTAGAAATATGGTTTCAACGGAGGCTACAACTTATCTTTAGGGTTTCTTTTTCAAAAGTCTGACAACAGCCATTTGAAACTGCAACATTTCTTGATAATATCTTGATATATATTATTTGAATAATATATTTCAAAGCTCGTTCGAAATTTTTTTCAAAACGTATATAAATGCTTTGGTCGATAATATCAATTTATCGATTCTTGTTAGACTAATCTAACATCTGATCAATTACCATTATGTTCCTAGTAAAGCACCTCTTCTGCGACTGCCCAGCCCTATTAAGGACAAAATATCGCTTTGTAGGGGCATGTTTCCTCCCAAACTTATCGGCATTATCCATAAGGAAGCCGAGGGACATTTTTAAATTCATCCAGGCATCTGGATGGAGCTAGCACATGCGAAGACCTGCAGATTACCACGGGACATGGGAAGTGGAACAGTCCACGCGGTGCCACAATGGGCCAACTTCTAAGGCCTAAGTGAGCCAGGGTTCTGCACCCTGGCTGCCGCATCTACCTAACCTAACCTAAAGCATTATAATCCATAACGAGTTCTTTTTACATAAGCAACATCTCTAATTTAAAAGCAGTTTTCCAACTATGAAAACTAAATTTTAAAACACATTATGCCTGCTATTAGCTGCCTTTATTACTCAACTCAAATCATCACTAAAACAATTAAGCTCGACTTGTTAAAGCTCGTTTAAGGAACTACCGTTTAGGCCAATAACACTAACGCTTAAAATCTAATTCTAATATACTACTACTTCAATTTGAAAAGCTAATCCAAACAGCACTGTGGTCCCAGACATTTCAGCACGCAACCAATAACTCCAACTACAACAAGAGCAACAACGACAACAACAACATATGACAAACAAGGCGTTCTTGGCCATTACTCAAGCAATCAATCCAAAAGGCAAAAGCCGCCAAGCGCCATCGGCAAGGTAGTCTGCCTGGGCAGTGGCTCTCACATCTCTCGTCCCCAGCCCCTCGTCTCGCCCTCCAATCTTCAGCCAGTTCGCAGTAAATTCGATAAGCGCTCAGCTTTATCGGCGATAACATGCGGTCGGTAGTTGATATATTTTTAAACGCTTGAACATTTATTACCGCAACGACCACGTCGACGGCCACAACAAGGAAAGCAACTACCAGGCAACTACAGTACACATATCCTAAAAGCTACCAAACACAAAATACACAATTGGTCCTACCAATAAAGAGCCAATCTTAAATTATTGCTGGTTCGTAAAACTTTTATGGGCGTTTAAGATATGTTAAGAATCTTACGGCAGAACATCTGTGAATACTACAATGCTATATACAGAAATAAAAGTATGTATGTGTATGTATGTAAATAATTCAGTTAACAGCGGACCAATAGACTAATTAGAATATCTATTAGGGCATAAAAACAATAAAGTATATATTGTCCAATTTTGTAAACAGGTTTACAGAGAAATTGTTTTGAG